GGGGATGGAGAACACGAAACCCGGTATACTCGTACCCATTGCCATCCCTAGGCAAGACCAATGTATGTTAGTCATTATGCCATGTATAATGTAATTCGGGGCAAGCCCGATGTATGCTAGTTTATGTGTTATATGTTATATGTTTCGGGCTTCGGTCCGATGCCGGGGCAAGCCCGATGCAGACTATGTGATTATGTTATGTGTTTATGATATATTTTATGCTGTGTATATACTGGGGTAAGCCCGATGCCGGGGTGAGTCCGATGCCCGATGCGGTCAGATGCCGAGGTGAGCCCGATGCCGGACAGGAGTCCGATGCTGGGTAAGCCGATGCCGGGATTCGTCCCGAGGCAGTTGGGAGTAGTCCCAGAGTTATGTTATTTGATATATGTGCTTTGTATGGTCTGTGGTAGTTTGGGGGAGCTCACTAAGCTTCGTGCTTACAATTTCAGTTTTGTTTTCAGTTACTTCAGCTAGTAAAGGGAAGGGCTCGAGCTGATGGCATGGCACACACCACAGTCTATTAGCCTGGGAGCTTACTCTGATATTTATTATGAAACTATTATATCTCGTCAAATTTTATGAGATTTGAGATACATGTTCGATGATTTTATTTTATGGTGATAATATTATGTTTGTCAAATGATTTAAATTTTTTTGTCTTGTATTTTATGGGACGTTTCATAAAGAAATCGGTCTTATCTGGTCGTGAAATTGAGGATGTCACATTTAGTATCAGATCATTAGTTTAAGTGAACTAGGAGTAATGATTTATTTCTAGACTTAAACTTAAAATGCTAAGCGATGATTGTGAGATGAGTGTCTGCTATATTTAGGAAATATACCTAAATAGACACGGGCACTAGCTTATTTTAGGAAAGATGCCTAAATTAATTTTATGTGCTAAATGATTTATGTTATAGCTATAAGATGCCTTATATCCTTTAGGATGTTATTACTGATGGGTTTTGAGCATTCTAACACTCATATGATGTGCATGCAAAATTATGTGCCTTGGATCTATGTTTTCACTATTATACATGAAAATATACCAAATTCCAAAGCATCATCTTAACTTGCATATTATAGAGCAACTATACTACAAAAGTCTAGTTATATGACATACCTTTTGATGGAGCTTGAAGTCTTGAACCTTTAAGACCTTAGCCCCAATAGTGTGGAAGCCTCAAATGGAATCATACAACACCACCAACAAATGGAATAACTTGAGAAAAATGTTACTTTTGTTCTCCCTATGAAGTCGGCCCTTGCCCTCACTATGTGTATCCACTATTTCCATTTCATGAACCATGGGATCCTTTATATAGTGCGGCTCATTAGGGTTATACCATGTAAACCCTAATGTCCATGACTTTCCATTTCCTTCATGATCCATGAGTTTTAACCTCCATGGAGTATCCATGGGTTACCACATGGGTTAAGCCCAACATGAATGACAATAGATCACAAGCCCACATATATAAGAATGAATGATTTACATAATCAATCCACATATATTTAATTAGTCTATTTTGATCACAAAATTAATTCCAAATTAATTCTTGATCAATACTAATTAAATAATATGATTTCATATTAATATATTAGAACTTATAATATATTAATATAAATCATAAATAACCTTTTCTAACTTGTCTATCCAATTGTTCCGATGCCTTGCAACCCAAATGGACCATGCTACTCTCGGGTCGAGTACATACCAATAATAGTTATGGGCTTAGACATCTAATCCAACAATCTCCCACTTGGATAAGTCTAAACTATTATTTAAGTATGACTCCAAGATCACGACTAGCAATCGTAGCTCTTAAAGCTGCTGCCGAACTCTGACCTAGTCAAATGACATGTCCATTAGATAAGGGATCATATATTCCTCCATTCTAGATATCATATGGACTGAGACGTGGATTATAATCATTTTATATGTCCATTTGTTGTTTCCCGATTTCCGATTTATGATGACTGACTAATTGAACAAATCAAATCAGTCCAGACTTGGCCAAACACCTAGGGGTTTCATCACTAAATCATCGAGGGACCCACATATATCACTTTTATCCCTCCAAGGAAAAGGAATGGATAAACTTCGACCCAAATGCTTGCTTGTACTTACTCATCAAATCACACACAATGATATGTTTAATAACAACCAAGTTACTGGTTGCGTTTACATATGTCAATGTGCAACCAAATCACAACTACAACTCACGAGTCTCCATTTGAAGAATATAATATATTATCGTCTCATGATCAGTCGTGATAAAATACATGAAATGATTCAAATGAGCATGGGTTGAATCCAATACTTGAATCTCATTATAGGAGCACTCATGAACACTACAACCACTTTGTCCCAGAAAAACTACAGACCCATTCATGACAGTCTTGCCTCAATACCTACTTCCAAAGTATGATCGACTGTGGATGTTTTGAGTAACTTAGGTATTCGGGAAGTCAAAACATGAAAGTGAAACACTATAATAACCGAATCCAATATGGTCTCAGAACTTATGAATATAAATAAAACACATTTTATTTAATCACCATATTGATTACACATTATTAATTGCATAATGTTTCAAATAATCAACTTAATACTTGAATGGAAACGATAGTTGTCCCATGCTCCAAGCATACACACTATGTTTTAAAACAATAGTTATGCCATACTCCAAGTATGCACACTATGTTTGTCTGTGATCCTTGCTTTGTGAAATAGATCAATTGAACATGATTCCAATGATGCTCATTTCACAATCCGAAATCCTTACCGTAAATGTAAGAATACCAAATTCTTCATTTACTGTAATCTGTTAGATTTTAAATTCATATGCATTGGTCCTCTTGTAATGACTTTGCACAAAAGTCACAAAGACTTGGTAATAGACATTAGAAAGTATTCCAATGGAGATCAATTCCATGGAAACAAAGTCTCACATTCAAAGTACATTCCTTTGAACATCCTTCTTGCATTAAGTTTTTCTAATCTTACACAGATTTTGAAGAATAACTTCCTCCTATGGAACCATTTCCATATTCCCATTTTGACTCTTACTTCTGAAAAAGAGTTGCCTCTTTTCAGAATATGTCAATATGGTCCCTCTTCAAAATTTTACACCATACTTCCAACTGTCCATGAGAAACCAATCTTAGGTAAACCTCGGATTGTCCTCAACAATTTCTTAATCATTTCAGTCATATCCGGTTCTCTTCCTTTTTCCCTCTTAATGCCCTAAGCATTTGGAAAATTTAGAACGGATAAGTATTATAGCACATGCAATCAATCCTATATCCGAAGCATACAAGACATGATTCATGATGTCTCACATAAAGACATGATACTTGATCAGTCTTTTTCTACAATATTTCTTATAATTTTCCATGTTCTCATAATTTGAATTATGAAAAAGGGATGTCGTAATCATAGTCGAATGTTAGAACGCAAATAATGTAATCATGACTAAATTTGATCAAAATCTCACAATCTAAGCTTTTAGATTTAAAATGAAGTATGATTTCCTCTCCCTTAATTATAGCAAAACAACCTTTTCAACCCCTGCAACTTCATGAATTGAAACTTTTGTTTTCTATAATTAAGATTGCTAACTTGCAATATTTACCATAATTAATTATGCTCCGACTAGCATAATAATTATTATCTTACCAACATAACACTTATGCTCCCACTAGCTCTGACACATACTCAGAAATTAGTTGGACTTCTAGAAATCGATGCTTCATTGACTTTCATTACCAAAGTTTAGATTTCTGATACAAGATGCTTCGTTAAAACTTAAAATTTTCTTAGTGAAAGTGTTTCCTCACCATCATTTTCATGAATCGAAGAGAAACCTTATGACACTTAGATTTTATGGTGTATGTGTTCCTATCCATGTGAATTTGTCAAAACCATAATCACAAGACAAAGTTAGTGACAAATTCAAACTCATATGGACTGAACTAGTTCAATCTTAATTTCTTGCCACTTGGCAGCACAAGTGCTTACCATTGCTTCCAAGTTGTTATGCACACAATTGAGAACTCATAGAACTCGCATACATAGTCAATTTCACCGTAATAGGCACAAAAACAAGAATTATGTCACCACAATAGGTTACAAACCTCAAGTCGTGTGCTAGTGATAAACTACATGTTTTATTCTTGATTAGTTGTTGAAACTCTTTCAGGATCTTTAAGACTCCCACTGACCTCTTGACATATAAGTTTCTCTTTGTCAAATACCATTACTTGACAACAAATATTCAAGAGTTAGTGTGGATTCTTATCAAGACAAACACTTCACACAATTGGCCTTAGTTGGTCTTTGTTTTATCCAAAACATCACAACTTACAAATTTCAAATGTTCAAGAGTAGAAAACATTTTACTCTTACATTTGATAAGTGTTATAAATCTTCTTTAAGATTTGTCACTCAAGTTACAACCTTGGATTATGACTCTAAGAATTGTTTTGGAACGAAGTATGACTCATGTTCTTGATTTAACCACTTCAACAATTCATGACTCCTCTTCTTAGCCATAAGAATGCACTAAGATGTCCTTAGAGGATTAATTATGATATGGTTTCATAATCATTAAGATGATCATAAGTACTTTCCCATCTTTTCAGATTTGATAAACTTACCTAATTTGATTCTTCTCATTCGTTCTGCCATACATTGAAACTTTTCCAATGTTTCAGAATTATACTTAAACTTGTAAGTATAACCATATTTACTGAACTTTAGTAAATCATGATGAATAGTCTTATCGATCTTTGTGGTGGACTTGACCAGTGCACAAGAAGGTGTACTCGATCCATTAGTCCTTCACTTGACTCACATATACATGTGAACAAGGAATTAGTCTTAATTTTCCAAAGATGAAAA